CGGAAGAGTGATGCACCTAAATATAAATCCTGAAGGCCTTCAAAATCAGACAAAGAGAGAATTTCAACTATGTTCAGAGCAATTCACTGCATAGAAATCATAAAATACAGGCAATCAGGCATTCATGTAGCTCCAACAGTGGAGTGTGGCACTACAAACATCAAGGTCATGGGTTCGATTCCCAGGGAATGCATGAACTGATGCAATCTAAGTTGGATAAAAGTGTCTGTCAAAGTCATAAACGTAAAAAAAAAAAAAGAAAAAAAGAAAAATAAATAAAACTGGCAGCTGAATTTATCAGGTTCTTTAAAGCCGTTTCCATTTCTTCCAAGAGATGTTATAATTGGCAAAGTCTTTCCAAGGGGGTAAGGGCTGAGCAGTGCTGGGTAAGATGAGATAATGTCAATATTATAACTTCATTAGACCTAATAAACAAATAAATATGGCTAAGGTAAAACGCTGAAGTGAAGTTCTCTCTGAAGCTAGACCCGTACAGCAGCAGGAAATCTCACCTTGTCACTCAAGGACTTTAGGACACTGTGTTTTGGTTCACAATGCTGGTTTCCACAAGGAATGTTTCACTGGAGATGTAAAGGGTCTGGTGGTGAGAGTCAGTTCAAACATTTTAACGGCTTTAAAGGTTGAATTTTGGCAGGCAGAGCTACAGGTTTGTGCCATTTGGTGTTTTTGCCATTTTAAAACCAGGAAGATTTAGCTCACATTCCAAGAGGCAAATTAAAGGACTGAATAAGATTTTGTTTTGTGCAATGAGGCTTTAAGAGAGACTTTTTCTCCCATCAGTAGAACAATAAAGAAGAACAGTAGAACAGTAGAACAGTTTTTAGCTGAAACCGTGGTCTTTGGTGCTTCATAAAAAGTAAGTGAGCAGCTGCCTGCCTTTGATGACAAATAAAGCATATCAAGGAACACAAAATTAATACGCGTTGCTCCTGACGATATATTGAGGTCTTATGAAGAGAAATGATCAGTCTGTGCAAGAACCTGAACATTACTTACAGCATTATTACCTGTAATCCAGAGCCTCAGGCAAACGGTCTGGAGTGATGTTCGGTTCACGAACAAGTCATTCTTCTGAACAGGTCCTTTTAGTGAACTAGTTGAGTTCACAGTTTGCGGCTCAAACAGTACAGAACCAGTTCATTGAAAGGAACTGTCCAAAAGGCTCTGGATTTCAGGTAATAATGTTGTAAATAAGTTTCTTGCGCAGACCAGTCGTTTCACGTCATAAGACCTCAATATATCATCAGGAGCCACGGGTATTAATTTTGTCTTCCTTAACTGATATGCTTTTTTATTCTCAAAACGGGCAGCCGTTGACTTGCATTTTATGAATCACCAAGGCCCATGGTTTTGGCTAAAACTCTTCTTTACTGTTCAGCTGAAGAAAAAAAAATCACCTACATCTTGGATGACCTAAGTATGAGTAAATTAACAGCAAATGTTCATTTTAGGACTGATTGGCGCAGACATTTCACCTGCAGAGCCCTTTACCTCACGGCCAACACAAGTCCTGCAACTCTTCATGCAAAACCAAAAAACTAGGCGTAAAAGTTGAACTCTCCAGCCTCTGGCATCTCCATTATTTAAGTTTAAGGCAATAGCAAAACGCCCATTTATAATAAAAGGCAACAGAGATTTGTGAGAGAGGAAAGCTGTGCTGCTGTGTGCATTCGGCTTATAGTCAATCTCACTGAATTCGTAATATATTAGTCTGAAAGAAAAGTTCTTTCTAAGTTGCCAGAACCATCTGTACTGGCACTGAGGTGGAGCAGTGTGAATTACTCCGACCGGAATCCAATTTCACTTACTTGGATTTCCCTGAAAACAAATTGTTGTACAATCGTGTTGTAAAAGTGTCCTCTTTTACTTGAAAAATCACTACCAGTGCTGTTAAAAGATTTTTTACTCCCAAAATTAATATAAGAGAATAGAGAGAGAATGAGAAATGATGGAGAAAATAAATGTCACAAATCGGCTTAAAATTTGTGCCACCTGCATGAGCACAAGCACTCAACTAGTCAAAGCATATGTGCACAAATCACAAGACCAAGTGTCTGAACCATGTGCACTCTTTGACAAGCTTACCAAACCTATATTTTGTTAGAAAGACTGTCAAAAATAATTTTACGTATGATCTGTTGCCACCTGTAGAAGTTACCTGCTGTTCAAAAGTTTGGGGTCAGTAAGATTTTCTAATGGTTTTAAGAGAGGTCTCTTATGCTTACCAAGGCTGCATTTATTTGCTCAAAAACACAGCAATATTGTGAAATATTATTGCAATTTAAAATAATGTTTTCTATGTGAATATATGTAATAAAAAGTCATTTATTCCTGTAATCAAAGCTGAATTTTCAGCATCACTACTCCAGTCATGTTACATGATCCTTCAGAAATAATTCTAATATCCTGATTAAAAGAAAATATATTTTGTTTAATCATCATTGATGTCAAGAACAGTTGTGATGCCTCATATTTTTGTGGAAACCATTCTTTTTTTTTTTTTTAAAGGGTGCGATTTCAATTTTTCCTTTCTCTTTGGAGTTTTACAAGCTCTTGGTGCATAAAGAAGATAAAGAAGATTGCAAAGACTAAAGTCTCAAATCCAAAGAGATATTCTTTATAAAAGTTAAGAGTCAGCCACACCTACCTAAAATGGCTCGCTCTAACACGCCCTCACATATCTACCTCACTGTGTGGGAAGATTTGCATAACGCCGCCCAAATGATCACACAAAGAAAGAAGGCGTAACTTTTATTCTCGCTGTAGTATTGTTGCCACCGCCGCCATGTCGTGAAGGCGCTGTGTGATTCGTTGTGAAAGCGAAACTACTTTGTTTGGTCTTCCAAAAGAGGACGATATCCGCTTCGTCATGCCTAGAGCTGATCCGTGCTGGTCGCTGAGGGAATACATCAACTTCGCGCTGTGGATCGCCGGATCGGCTTTCAC